TAGCTGGATTGGAACAGACTCACAAACAAACCCTAGCCCACCAAACGCTACTGGACCTAACCACCACACGGAAAGACCTCAAAGACCTACTGGGATTTAAAATTCGAAGAGCCTACACTTTACGCACAGGCCTCTACTACGAAGGGGGAAATAAATGTGGCAAACTGCTGGCTAGAGCGGTCAAATCTCAACTACGAGCCTTTAATATCCCACAAATTCAAAAGAGCGATGGCTCTATGACCAACTCTACCCCCGACATCGCAGAACGGTTTAGAGAGTACTACCATCAATTATATAACCAACACACAGGACAGGCCCAAAATAAAAACTTGGCCCAAAACTCCATCCAAAATTACCTAAACGACTCTGATATGCCCAAATTAGCTAAGGAGGTTGCGCAGGCGCTGGATCACCCGATCTCGGAGGAAGAACTCAGACACACAATTGCCCTAACCAAACCAGGCAAAAGTCCAGGTCCAGACGGTCTCACCACACAGTACTACAAATCCTTCCAAGACATACTGACCCCCCATTTCCTAAAGACGTACAACTCAGTAGACCGCGTCCATTACTTACCAAGCCAAACACTTGAGGCCCAGATTTCAGTCATCCCTAAAGAGGGTAAAGAACTCCGCTACTGTGAAAACTATAGGCCGATATCCCTCTTGAACGTAGATGTAAAACTGTTCACCAAGATCCTGTTGAATCGCTTTTTCCCGCATGTCCCCGAACTGGTAGGGAATCAACAAGCGGGGTTTGTCCTGGGCCGAGAGGCTAAAGACAACACCACCACAGCTATTGACATTATCCACTGGACTCAATCAAAATGCATTCCCACTATCTTACTCTCCACCGATGCGGAGAAGGCATTCGACAGGGTCTCATGGGAATTTATGTTTGCAGTTCTAAGGCATATTAGACTTCAAGACCGTATGCTGGCCTGGATCCAGGCCATCTACACACGACCAACGGCATGGGGGTTAAGACGACAGGATGTTTGTCCCATAGTTTTCCTGTCTCAAACGGCACCCGTCAGGACTGCCCCCTTTCCCCCACACTTTTCATCCTGACACTAGAACCCTTCATCAGAACGGTTCTTAAAGACCCACAAGTGCGGGGGGTAACGATAGGTAAAGGGGAGCACAAGGTGGCGGTATTTGCTGATGACCTGCTATTTTTTCTAACAGACCCGACCAACTCGCTACCTAAATTGATGACGAGGTTTGAGACCTACTCCTCACTTTCCAACCTGAAAATCAATTTCGGCAAATCTGCGGCACTCAGCGTCTCCCTGCCCGCCTCCCTCATAGAGCCCCTAAGACGTAGTTACCCGTTCCAATGGAATAACTCCTCAATTAAATACTTGGGAATACATCTCCCGGCCAATCTTCTGACCATATTCTCACTTAACTTCCAACCCTTACTGAATAGACTTACTGTAAAACTGACCTCCAGAAGTGGCGCACGCTCACTTTCACCTGGTTTGGCAGAGTGGCTATGCTTAAAATGAACTTACTCCCGAGGCTCCTGTATCTTTTCCAAACAATCCCCATTATCCTACCGAGATCGTACTTCCAGAGCCTGCGAACCACCTTCTCCCAATTTGTCTGGAAAGACAAGAGACCGAGACAGTCCTGGGACTTGCTACAAAGCCCCAAGACCAAGGGGGTCTCGCGGTGCCAGACCCTCACAGATACTACCAGGCATCCCATCTAACCAGGGTCATACAATGGCACAATCAACAGACACCGAAAATCTGGGTGACCATTGAACAGAGCTGGTTCCCGAACCCGATCTCTTCCATGGTATGGCTGCCAGACCCTGACAGACCAGTGCTAAACCCACAGCACCCATTAATTTCGGCGACAATGTGGGAGTTTACAACCCTACGGAAGAAACAGATTCTCACCACAAATGACAGTGCATTAACACCGATACTACATAACCCAGCCTTTCATCCAGGGGAGACCCCAGAATTCCGACAGTACTGGAACACGGACACGCCACTCACAGCAACACTGTTTTTTTGTGCTCAGCAGTTTCTGGAGAGAAATGACCTCACCCACTTGGCACTGAAGGGAAACATCCCGTGGTGGATATATCTCCAGATTTGGAATTTTCTCACTAAGAGTGCTAAGAGGGGAAATTTCTCCAGAGATCTGACTACACTAGAAAAGCTGTACTCAGAGCAGAACCCCCAAGACCACCTGATCTCAAGGCTATACACGTTGCTACATGACACACAGAACCATAAGACAGTCAAACTGCGTAGGCGATGGGAAAAGGACCTACAACTAGCCTGGACAGACGAAGACTGGAGTGACATCTGCCGAACTGTACACACCAGCTCTATCAGTAGTAAGACTCATGAAACAAACTACAAGATACTGACCCACTGGTACAGGACACCACAGGTATTACATAAAATTTACCCAACCGTACCGGACACGTGGTGGAGATGCCAGAGGGATGTTGGCACTCTCTTGCACGTCCTGCCCAGACCTTGCCACATACTGGCAGACAGTACACAAAGTTACCTCCCAGGTCACTGGACAGACAATACATTTTACGCCGACGCATTTTCTACTGACTGACCCCACTAATGCTCAAGGCTCAAACACATCGCTACGACAACACATGATTAACGCGGCTCGCTCAATCATACCAAGACATTGGAAAGAAGGGAGGCCACCCTCGCTGTCCGAATGGATCCGACAGGTTGACCATATACACAAGATGGAAGAGCTACTCTTCACCAAAAGAGATGCCCTAAGCAAATTCATGCGTATATGGGCATGCTGGAATCATTTTACCAACTCCCCAGAGTACAAGTGTCTTAAATCCGAATCGTGATCAACCATGATGACACAAAAAGGGAAAGGCAATCATAGGAGAATATGGAACTAGATTGGCTAAGCTGATATGCCCGAATTCTTGCTGAGTGTACTACGAGCACTAATTGCAGGACCGTTTGGAGGCCCATAAGTGGCCACCGACCAGTCTACATTTTGCATCTCATAATAATAATTTCTTTACGCTAGTCTGTAAAATGGAACTGTTTGTTTACATATCTCTCAATTACTGCCAGGGTGACGGGATACATCTGGCTATAGGCTAGACAAACAATTTATATAAAGGATTATGTTAGATACAACCGGATGGAGATGACAACCTAGGGCATACGAGTTTAGACCCCTTCCCATCTTCCCCTTTACCCCACCCACTTTCATCCCTTCCCCCCTTCCGCCCGATTTGTATGCTATGATACTGTGATGTTGAGAAGCTCTGTTGTTTGTACTTGTATAAGAAAATTATAATAAAAATTTGTTGGAAAGTAATAAACATTATGTTATTTGCAAAGCCTGTGCGATCCTGCTGGATTCCCCTAACATTACACAATCTATGGGGTGACACAGGAGTTTGGAGGTGGGTAAAAGAGTAGGAAGCAGGGAGCGATACTCTCGATTACAGCCCTGGAATACCACTTCCTGCAAGTATCAGACATGCACGTTGTCCAAGTGACACCCACACAGGAATTAGGGGGCTCAACTGCATGCCAAAGAATGCTTTTCTGCGGAATTGGCAGACTTTGAGGCAAGACCTAGATGGCATTTCTGCGGAATTGGCAGACCTTGAGGCAAGACCTGCACCTGATCCCTCCCTTCCCCTGTACCTGATCCCTCCCTTCCCCCTGTATGGCCCTGCTTCTGTGTTATTATTATTATACAGGATTTATATAGCGCCAATAGTTTGCACAGCGCTTTACAATATAAGGAAGACATTACAGCCACAATACAATTTAAGACAAGATGGTAAGGAGGGCCCTGCCTGTGAGGGCTTACAATCTAAAAGGGAGGGGCAAGTGATACATGAGGAGGTAGCTGCGTGGGGATGATTGTTTGAGAAAGTGATTGTTCAGTGGTTAGGTTGAGGTGGGATAGGCTTCCCTGAAGAGATGAGTCTTAAGGGATCGCCTAAAGGCAGTCAGTGTGGGAGATAGACGGACAGGTTGGGGTAGAGAGTTCCATAGAATGGGAGACACTCTAGTGAAGTCCTGGAGGCGAGCATGGGAGGAGTTGATGACGGAGCTGGAAAGCAGGAGGTCTTGTGAAGAGCGGAGGGGACGGTTAGGGTAATACTTTGAGACCAGGTTGGAGATATAGCCGGGGCCAGAGTTGTGGATGGCTTTGTACGCGGTTGTTAATATTTTGAATTTTATCCTTTGGGCTATAGGAAGCCAGTGTAGGGATTGACAGAGGGGGGTTGCAGACACTGAGCGGTTGGTTAGGTGGATGAGCCTAGCAGCTGCATTCATGATAGACTGAAGGGGGGATAGCCTGTGTAGAGGTAGGCCAATGAGGAGGGAGTTGCAATAGTCAAGACGAGAGATAACAAGGGAGTGGATGAGCAATTTTGTGGTATCTTTGGTGAGGAAGGAGCGTATTTTGGAGATGTTACGAAGGTGGAGGCGGCATGATTTGGATAGTGATTGGATGTGGGGGAGAAAGGTGAGGTCCGAGTCAAGGATGACACCTAGGACCTTGGCATGGGGGGAGGGCTGGATAGTTGTGTTAACAATCTCAAGGGAAAAGTTGGGGGAAGGTGCACGGGCAGGAGGAAATATCAAGAGCTCAGTTTTTGAAAGGTTGAGTTTTAAGAAGTGTTGCGACATCCAGATAGATATGTCAGTTAGTAGATTAGTGACACGCAAGGACACTGAGGGGGAGAGTTGCGGAGTAGAGAGATAGATTTTATATGTGTTATATTGTTATGTATGGCTATATCATTTGACTTTGAGATATATATATTTGGAAGTTGTACTGAGATATGGGAAATGCTCAACTTGGATACACTTATACTGTTTTCAACCTAACTTTTATGTTTGGTCTGTATTATTAAGTGCCATTTTGTTGTACTGTTGCAAAACCTCAACACAATTAAGCACTATTAAAAAACAATGCAAATACAATAAAACAATACATTAAATGTTATTTTTCTAGGAAGAAAAAATGAGAAAAGAAGAGGAAGAGGCCAAAAAACGTGCTGATGATGATGCCAAGAAGAAAAAAGTGCTTTCCAACATGGGTGCACAGTTTGGGGGTTATCTCATGAAGGTAAGACTAATGTATTATTACATTATTACATAGTTCAGTTAGTTAGCTATTTTATTTACTTTTATTGATATAAAATTAAATGAAATTATTATTACTTGGAAGTATATATTTTCTAACTGAACTATTTAATGATAAACAATATCATTATAAGATGAGATGCCTAACATACAAATGTCCCATAATTTACTAGCAATCAGATTCATTAAAGGGCCAATTCATACCAGCAGCTGTGCTACAGCACACAGCAGCTAGTGTGCATTGCCTGGCACAGTGCTGATGTGCCACTCCAGGCACATTGCACTGTTTGAGCTTTTTTCTTTTATTGAAATGTCACAATTGAAAAGAGAGTGAGGTTAACACACAGAAAAATTAAGTATTTTAAATTCTTATGTACAGTGTTTTTTTCCATAAATAATTTTTTATTCACTTCCAATGTGCATTTGAACTTGCTAGAAAATGTGACCACTCCAGGACAGTTAATTGCTTAGCACAGCACCCTCATTATTTGCTCTTCTGCTCTTCTTGGTGTGTCTAATGTGTCTTTGCAGACCCAGAATCATCACGACTTCCCTTACCTCCCACATAACCTTTTTTTAGCTGCAAGTGACACCTATGAGTCTGCTGGGGCTGCTGACATTACATCAAAGATGGTGGCATCCAGAAGCAGTTTAGGACTTTTGGATGTCTACACAAGGGAGGTTTTTACAGGTAAAAAAATTGCATAAAATATGTTAAATCTTAAATAAAAAATTTTGATGAAATGAATGGTCTGGTGACAGGGTCTATTTAACCACCTGCCGCCCACCGACTGTACATAAATGGCCGGACGGGTGCCTTCTAGATGCAGGTGAGCGTTTTAAAATATCCTTTGTGCCCGCGTCCGCTCATGCGCGCCGCCTGGTGCGCATGAGCTGAAAACTGTCAAAACTTGTAGTCTGTAGAGTCGCCCAATCGCTTGTATGTTGTGCCGTTGTGTGCCCCCCCCCTCTGCTGCCGCAATCCAGGGCTCCCTGTGCTCCATGCGGACCCTGTGGCTCTGTGCAGGAAGATCGGAGGGAGATCAGTACACAATCTCCCTCTGAACTCCTCTCTGGTGTTGAGTGTGGAAGTGTTTATTACATCACTTTCGCATTCAGCTGTCACTCTCCGGCTACAGAAGCTGGTGAAGCAGATCTCTGCTTCAACAGCTTCTTTGGGGTCTCTAGGTGACATTAGAGACCCCTGATGTCTTCCATAAAGAGGACCTGTCACTGTACTTTGATATCAATATATATAAAAGTTAAGTGTAAAAAAAAAATAAAGTAACCAAAAAAGTTTTAAAGTCCCCCACCACCACATATATACATGCAGACATGTGTCGGGTGCGCCTTTGTGCGAAAACGACGATTGTGTAATCCTGCACGTTACATATCATCACGAACGTCAGTGTGAGCAAATAATTTAGGGCCATTAATTACTGTTAAACACTAAATTGATGAGCGGTAAAAGCTTTTAAAGCGTCGCCTATGGACAATTTTGGGTGTGGTAGTTTTTTTTGCGGTTTTAAGGATTGATATGTTTGGTGGCTATTTAACCGACATGACCCCATCTTTTATATTTTACCAAAAAATTGGGTAATATTCTGACTTCGATTGTTGTATTAGCGATTTATCCCTTGCTGAGACCTCTATAACTGGCCTGTATAAGCAGATATAATCACTGCGGACAATCCTTATCAGATAGCTTATCTCACCAAATACCTTCTCCATCCACAAAATACTTTATGCCGAGCAGCAGGTTACAGCAGACAATAGGATACAGCAGATGAATGAATAGATTATAATGTTTCCAAGCATGCAATGCAGATTACATGTGGTTCTGTTACAAGTAGCCATGACACTAAAACGACTACTGGAGAAGAACGGCGTGGTTACATTACACACAGAGGGAAATACGTCATAGGTGGAAGGGAACACAGAAAACATGTGCAATAACTAAAATAACCACAAGATGTCAGCACATGAACCAACTATAATGCTGCTCACAATATATGGCTTAAGGAAATAAACTATATAAATTCTCATCTAACATTAATGTGAATATTAACTGTGGCTATGCATATGTGATATCTTACAACCGTGTAACGGCACACTTACCGTCTGGCATAGTAAATGCCAATATATAAATCATAAAGGATTCAAGTTGTGTCAATTAAAGTTCAAGGCACTTTCTTCTTGAAGTCAGAAGTAGGATCCAACAGCATACGTAAGCAAGTTCAGTCTCCAAAGGGCAAGAGCAAAACAAGTTCCGTGATCGGTCTGAAAGTCTGTACAGTTCCTTGTCTTGCAACTTTCACCTCTACCTTATGTACCTTGCCATCATTACTAGGAATGCTCTTTACAATGAGTCCCATGGGCCATTCGATTCTTTCAGCTTGCTGGTCCTTGAGCAGAACGACATCTCCAACTTCGATGTTAGGGTTCAGGCGTTGCCATTTTGTCCTTGCAGAATAGAAAGATACTCCATCTTCCAACGATTCCAGGAACAGTTGGCGAGGTGTTTGTACTCTCTTCCACTGATCATAGTACAGATTTCCTGCTTCAATGTCTCCAAGTGGAACAGGAACAGACCCAAGCTTCTGGGTAAGAAGAGTAGCTAGAGTAAGGATGGTGTCAGGAACCGGATCTGAACCCAGGGCCTCTGTTGTAGCTGGTAGTGGTTCTACCTGTTGAGCCACCTTAGAACCTTGGATAGCTCCTTCCCTGATCTCCTGTGTAATCCTCAGTTTAACCTAGTGTCTGCTGAACTCTGAACTTCTTGCTCCTCCCTTGAACTTCCTATTTAAGCCATGCCTCTGCACTTCCTGTTTGCCAGATTATTGTGCTCCTGCCATTATCTTGCCCCTGCTACCTCTGTTCTACAGTCTACTCATACTACTACCCGTGTACCAACCTTTGGCTGCTGATTCACCGACTACTCATCATCTGCTGCTTCGTACCTGATACCTTTTGGCTACTGACCTCGGCCTTGTTCCTGCTCCTACACTACTACTGTCTGCTTGTGTACCGAACCCAGCCTGTTATACCACAAACTTGCCTGCTGCTTCAGCTACTGGACTCCGAGCCTGATCCGAGATCGTGACAGATGGTTGGGGTCGCTAGATCTCTAGGCACTGGAACAACTGGTCTTGAATGCCAGGAAGGTAGTAAAAATCTCATGAGTAAGTCTGTGGAGTTCAAGTCCATAAGCATAGAGTTCAGTATTTTACTTATGATGCCTATTATTTTCTCCCATGAGCCACCCATGTGGGAAGAATGAGGAGGATTGAAAACACATGTACTGCCTTTTTCAGCTAAAAAGTCCTGGATTGGCCTAGAGTTGAACTGTAACTCTCGGCAGGCTCCAATGAAGTTAGTTCCACAGTCAGATCTCAATGTTTTAACTGGTCCTCTGATGGCAAGGAATCGCCTTAGAGCAAGGGTAGCCAAACTCTCGCCCTCCAGCTGTGGTGGAACTACAAATCCCATGAGGCATTGCAAGACTCTCGCAGCCACAGACAGCCGAGAGGTATGCATCATGGGATTTGTAGTTTCACAACAGCTGGAGGGCTGGAGTTTGGCTACCCCTGGCTTAGAGCATTGATGAAACTTGAGGCATCTTCAATGTGTACTGCATGAACACTCATGCGGGTGAACGCCCATCGTTTGCTATTTACTTGGCCATCTCGAGTTCTGCAGGCTGTTACCATCCATGGTCCAAAGACATCCAGACCAACGTGAGTGAGAGATGGGTCAGTACTTAACCTGTCAGCTGGCAAATCTGACATTTGCTGTTGCTGAAGATTCCCTCTCAGTTTGTGGCACTGAACACAGCTGTGCAGTGTAGCTGTAATCTGTCTTTTTGCTGCTATAATACAAAGGCATGCGGCTCTTACGGCATCCTCTGTGAAGTGTCTATCTTGGTGCTTAACCCCTTCATGGTAGTGCCGTATGAGCAAAGTGGTGATGTGATGGCGAGCAGGTATAATGAGAGGATTCTGTTCTTGCTCTCCCAACTTAGCCTTGTTTAAATGCCCACCAACCCTTAGCATGCCATCATTGTCAATGAATGGGTTCAGGTTAGCAATTGGGCTGTTTTTTGGAATGTCTTGCTTGTCACTAATGCATTATATTTCTGAGCTAAAGACATTCTGTTGTGCGTATTATGATCAGTTCATTTTCAGCAGTGGTGGAACTACCGCTGGTGCAGGCGGTGCGGGCTTTTTTTTTTTTTAATACTCACCTGATCCGATCCACCGTCAAGCGCAGTGTTCCTCCTCTCATGCTGCCAGACTATGCATACAGAGCGTGTCAGTTACTATTTAAACTGGCGCGCTGTGTGCAGCTTCTGAGAAGATACGCCATTAGCGTAGCGGGAGCGATGCAAAATGCGCAGCCGGCTTTATCGCTATGCTAATAGCGTATCTTCTCAGAAGCTGCACACCGCGCGCCGGTTTAAATAGTTACAGTATATATATGAAAAAAGTTTTTTTAAATAACAAAACGCTTTAACAGCGGTTTAAACTTACCCCGTCTTCGCCGCGCGGTCCTGTCCGAAAATCCGAAACTGCTTGGGCGGCCGCAAAGCATCTTGGGACGGGTGCATGCGCAGTTCGGATTTTCGTCCCGGAGACGAGGAGAGACGCAAGGTAAGTATATGGACGCATGCACCTTCATGCAGACACCGTGGGGCAGGAAGTGCCAGCAAGGACAGAGGAGTCAGCGCTGGATCAGACACCCGCCGCACCGCTGCAGAGACAGATGAAAACATCAGGAAAGAAGAAGATCGGATTAAGAGACATCAGTTAAGGTAAGTGCTTTAATTAACATTGGGGGAGGGGAAAGAATTACTTTAATGTCACTTTTCACTTTAACCACTTCAGTACGTCTATAGACCGCGGAAGTGGTTAAAATAAGAACACGGCTGCTTCGACAGCCGTGCTCTTGGTACCACTTTTATCTTTCAAAAGTTTTATTGTTTTC